TGTGGCATTGATGCTGTTGGGTGAAAGCTCACTTGGGTTTAGCTCTGGTATGAAAGTTTTCTGGTTTGGAGTTTGTGAAATTTTCCATTGCAGTATCGCAGGATTTTTATGAAAACAAAATTATTTAAACCTTTTGTAAAAATGTGGGGGGTTTGAGTCTCAGTAAGTATATGGCAGCAGAACAGCTCATGACAATGCTGCTTCAGCTCTTGTAGAATCAAAGGATCCAGGAAAAGACATCCCCTGAAAATCGGTACAGGTTCTTTAGGCATCACTCTCCCCAGTTCACTCTCACATCTGGCAGAGTTTCAAATGGACCCTTCCTGGAGAATTATCAATACAAGGTATAATAACTGCACACTTTAGCTTTTACCTTTATTGGGAAATTATATCATGAATAAGTATGAATGTTAGCTAAAATGATACTGACTGTAATGCAGATGTAGTTAATAGAGATATGGAAAAAAGTACTTTTAACATCATTATGATAATTAAGTTCTGAATTTTGTTTGAGGGAGGTGTGTGTGTTGCTGACCAATTCAGCATAAAAATAGTGAGTAATTATGATATTTTTCTTAGGGAAATCAATCTCTAATCTGTAGATGGCAAGTGAATTCTCATAACGAGACAAACCAACCCAGGCTTTTTAGTCGGAAGCTTTGAGATGTTGCAGTCTGGATGCAGATATAGGGACGAAAGGCTGGCTTCCATGGATTCTTTTGTGGATTTTTTTTTTTTTAAATGCAGTTGAACTACTTTGCCCATTCTGTGTCCCAACCTTTTTGCTCTGATGGAGATCCTGCAGGGGAACCGGGCGCTGGGGCTGGGTGACTTCATTTGGAATGGATTGCAGGGGCAAGCAATGGTCTTTTTATCTGAGCCAGGAATAAGGAACTAAAATTAAAAAGCTCAGAATCTGGCCTTGAGTTTCATGCAATTTTCATTTTTGTTATAGAGTGAAATGATGAGTAGTAGTACACAGAAACCTCAAGAGATATGATGGGCTGTAAAATGCTGAGCAGGATGCTCTGTAGTCAAGAGACATATTTTTTAAATATTTTTAAAAAATAAATAACACATAATGGTTATCTCATGACAGACTTTTCATAAAGTACTTCCACCATTTTGGCAGGTAAACTCAAAATTTGGACGGGGAATTGTTTTCAAAATAACTAATGTCTCTGTAGCACAGGGAGAGGAGGGAGCAGCTGGACAGACAGCACAGATGAGCTTTTAGGTTAAAAATGTTAGGGAACAGTGCAGTGCTGCCCTCTGAGAAGCCTGAGTTTGCTCTGAAACCAAAAATAGTACATCCGTGTTTGTGTGGGGCTCCACCGAGGCTTATGTTCTCTGCTGCTTCTGGTTAATAGGGCTAACCAGAACTAACTCAACGGAGCTCTGTGTGGAACTGCACTTGCTCCAAATCCCTTGGACATCCTTCTGCTGAACTGGGTGAGAATTAATTCAAGCCCTAGTAAGCTAGCCAGACAAATAGCAGGAGGCGAAACGCTGTGGAAGCGTCATACCCTAGATCGCATCGCAAGGTCTGTGGCCCAAGTCTGCTGAGGTCCAGACCAGCACGCTTTGCTGCGAGAAGTCACCGCTTGTGAATGGGGGAGAGCTGGGGGAGAAGAGGAGTTTGGAGGAAAAAAAGGTGTCACTAATTCTGCAGCTTTGGTTCTGCATTGTTTAGCAAACTCAGTATTTTTCTGACTAAAAGGCACTTTGACTAAAAAAGGAAAACCAAGCTGATTTTGGTATGTTTACGTTTGGATTTGATGCATGCAATTAAATGCCTTTTGGGTGGATTAGTTTGTATGTTGTCTGCCCCTCCTAACCCTTTAATGTGACTTTGAAGCTGCAAACTTTCCTTTTCCTGTTCTCACCCTGTGAATATGGGGAAAATAAAAACAGTAGGATTTGCCCAAGAAAAACACACAGGTCAGGTGGATTAGAAAGAGATCAGGTTGCCAGATACCCAGGGAACGAGTGTTTTATTTAGCGTTTTACAGCGTCTGCCAGAAAATACACAGAATAAACATGCAATAATCTAGGGAAGGCAGAGGGGTTCGGGGAGGGACGATGGTGGGCAAGGCAATACTGTGTCTTTAATTTTCTTTTCCAAAGGAAGAAAGTCTGCATAGCAATGACAGGATCACTTGTTCAAGCCTTTAATGTGTGATCTGTTTTCTCCAGTGGAGGGCACTCAGTGTATCACAAACTAGAACATTAGCACCAACAAGCTCCAAAGCATCATCACTCTCTGGAAAGCCTTCTGAATTAGACAAGAGCTGCCTCTCAGCACAGCTACAAAACACTTTAAACCTGACCAGCTAAATGGATAAACCTATCCTGCATAGCTTTTAAACTGGGCTCTGGCACAGCGCAGGAGGCCTGCCTGCTTCGGGAGCTGGGAAGCCGAGGATGGATTGCTGTGTCTGGGAATGGCAAAAGGCAGCAGAATGAGAAATGCTAGGTACCGGCAAAGATTCTTATTTCTCCCAGAGAAGTTGGTTTACCTTCGTGGTCTGCTATAGCTTTTACTCGCTGATTGCCACTTAACGCTGATGGTTCTCTGATGACTTACACAACGGCTCTCAGAGCTTAGAGTCCCTCCCTACCCCCCCACACACTCCCCCCCCTCCTTCGTCCTGTCTTCCCCACCCCCAACCCCTTCCCTATCCTTTCCCTTCCTCATCCCCAAAATTCTTGCTTGTCCTCTCTAGGGAACTTTGTGGGGGTTACTGGCATGCACGCTGGATGGCGGTGATGTGAGTGGCAACCGTGCTGTGACATGAAGATTCTGATGGTTTAAGGAAAAGAGACCAGTTTTAAAAAGAGAGAGAGAGAGGCAAAGGGAAAGCAGAAGAGGGAAGAGAGAAAAGAAAACAGCTGGAGAAAGGAAAAGGAGGACGTTTATTGATGACAAAAGGATGGGTAAGTGAACTTTTCTTGTTTGTTTGGTAGCACAGCTGCAGCTGTATGGTATATTTTTCAGTTGGATTATTAGCTGTTCGAGAGGGGAAACAGTCGAAACAGCGGCAGTGCATTCCTCTGCCAGGTGACTCACTGTACTTGCTATTGTATTTTTAGATCATGTATTCCCACACACACACACACATACACACCTTCCTCCTGCTTTGGTTTTATATGTAATTAATCTGTAAATGCATGCTCTGAGTTAAGGACTGTAGAGAGTACGTTCGCTGTCTGTACATCCCACCCACACACCTGCAGACGTATAGATAAGTACATGTATGCATGAGGCATGCTCACACAACGTTTCTTCTGGTTTTATATTCCTATTCGATGAGGCTGTAGTGGTATTATTCAGGCTGTCAGAAGGGACTGTTAACACTTTGCAGTATATGGGAAGCAAAGGGGAGGGGGTGATCTTGTTGTATAGGTGGTTTTGGAAAGGCTTGTTTGGTCTTTGAAAAGATACCCCTAATATTGCTGCTCGATTTCCAGCAGTCATTTGCCAGTCTTATTTTTTCAAGTGTGACAGGTTTATTTCCCTCCTTCCTTCCCCCCAAGTCTGGAACAGCCAGAACATATTTCTAGCTGGCTGCTGCTGGCACATAGGCAGTAGCAAAAGATGAGGATTTAAATTAAAAATCTAACCATAAAGTGAAAGGCAGAGACACGTAGTCGGGCATTTTAGATTAGGAATTATTTTGCAGATTGCCCCTTGGTTTATAATTGGATTAAATAACTGCAGCACAGGGTTGGTTTTGTGTCTGTGACAAATAATCAAGTAATTATTTATCAAGGAGATACCAGCCCTTAAAATATTTCCTGTTGGAAGAATGCATTTTAATTCTTAGCAAGATTGCAACTCTGGACAGAGGCACCAGTCCTAAAATTACGACAGGCTAAGGAAAGCGTGCATATGTATGTTGGATTTTCTGACAGTCCCTCCACCCCCTTTCCTAATTATTCAAAGAATGTGGAAAATGTGACTGTCCTCACGTAACAGCATTGCTACTATATGGTAAAATTGACCTCTCAAATGCAAAATCTTAAAATCAAGAGAGCTCTGGAAGAGAGAGGGTAGTTGAAATAGAAATATACGCCTTTAAACTTTCTGGTTTGCTGCCTCTAAGGCAGTGTTTATATATAAGTATTTGTGTGTATATTTTCACAGAGTATTACAATGTATGTACAAAATAATAAATGCTTAGGTATTCACAGCTACGTGTAGATAACTTTAAATTAATATGCCTTAAGACTATGATTCATTTTAAAGAAATAAGTCTTCCACCATTATCTTAGTACTGGGGTCCCATACCAGCATTATATGGTATACTTCTTGATATGGTTGAACTTTCTGTGCATCTATTTATATATTTTAGGTACATAAAAATAATGAGTAAACCTACTCTTAAAAACAAATCACTCAGTGCAAAAAGTAAAGCCTTTATTTACTGTCTACTTTTACAATAAATACACATTTTCAAGATGGATCAAACTTCATGATAAGTAGATTTCTCACTTTTTGCAGTAATTTTGGAGGAATTGGACTTGCAATTGCTTCTATTAGGGAACACGTTTAGCAGGACGTAAATACCAGAAGCTTTGGCTCATTTCCTTTCCAGCACTATGGAGCATTCAGCACAGTGACTTGACAAATATGTTTATTGTTAAAACCTCAGCATCTAGTGATCAGGATATACCAGCTACATTGAGAGATGATGTACAGGAGAAAAGCGAATAGAGAAGAGGCTCTTGGCCCTTCTAAGGGATCGTAAATCACACAAAAGTAATTGAATAACAAGCGTAGTACTGGTGATGGCGCGGGTAGGAGAGAGGGCAAGCCAGAAACTCAAAGGAACAGGCATTTACACAACAACAAGTGCAAAACAGGAGGCAAACAGGTTGTCTTCAAAATCCACTGCTTCACTAATGCTTTATTAGAAACCCCACTGACGTTGGTAATCTGTTGGCGATTTATTGTAATAGCTTTACAATGCACGTTTGTTTTCTTTTTAATATTGTAGGTTTCCATTTAATTAAGCAGCTGAGAGGCATGAGTGTGGTGTTAGTGCTACTTCCTATGGTGCTGTTTGTTGTGCTTGCGGGGGCTCAGCGAGCTTGCCCCAAGAACTGCAGATGCGATGGCAAGATTGTGTACTGCGAATCTCATGCATTCAGAGACATCCCTCAGAATATTTCTGGCGGGTCTCAAGGCTTATCGTTACGGTACAACAGCATTCAGAAGCTTAAATCAAATCAGTTTGCGGGCCTGAATCAGCTCATATGGCTTTATCTTGACCATAATTACATCAGCTCCGTGGATGAGGATGCATTTCAGGGGATCCGCAGGCTGAAGGAATTAATTCTAAGCTCCAACAAAATTACCCATCTGCACAACAAAACATTTCACCCAGTCCCCAACCTCCGCAATCTGGACCTCTCTTACAACAAGTTGCAGGTGTTGCAGTCTGAGCAGTTCAAGGGCCTTCGTAAACTCTTGATCTTGCATTTGCGCTCTAACTCGCTGAAAACTGTGCCGATCCGAGTTTTCCAAGACTGCCGAAACCTTGACTTTCTGGATTTGGGCTACAACCGCCTACGGAGCTTATCCCGTAATGCTTTTGCTGGCCTTTTGAAGCTGACAGAGCTCCACTTGGAGCACAACCAGTTTTCTAAGATCAATTTTGCCCACTTTCCACGCCTCTTCAACCTTCGCTCGATTTATTTGCAGTGGAATAGGATCCGGTCTATTAGCCAAGGGTTAACGTGGACTTGGAGTTCCTTGCACAACTTGGATTTATCAGGAAATGACATTACAGGGATAGAGCCTGGGACCTTCCAGTGCCTCCCCAACCTGCAAAAGCTGAACCTGGATTCCAACAAACTCACCAACATCTCTCAGGAGACCATCAATACGTGGATCTCACTCATCTCCATCACTCTGTCTGGAAATATGTGGGAATGTACTCGAAGCATTTGCCCTCTGTTTACTTGGCTTAAGAATTTCAAGGGAAATAAAGAAAGCACTATGATATGTGCAGGCCCTAAACATATCCAGGGTGAAAAAGTGAGCGATGCTGTGGAAACATATAATATCTGTGCTGAAATCCAGGTAGTGGTTACTGAAAGGTCCTACCAGGCACCCAAAACCCCCCCGAGACCTGTCTTCATTCCTAAACCTACCATTTCCAAACTTGAAAGCAGTCAGCCAACGTCTGTTATGCCAAGCCCTTCTGCAGACCTCCCAACACCTGGGGTGGAACCAGAGTACGAGCATGTTTCCTTTCACAAAATCATCGCTGGGAGCGTGGCCCTCTTTCTTTCCGTGGCCATGATTTTGTTGGTTATCTACGTGTCGTGGAAGCGCTATCCAGCCAGCATGAAACAGCTCCAGCAGCATTCTCTCATGAAGAGGCGCAGGAAAAAGGCCCGAGAGTCTGAAAGGCAAATGAACGCCCCTTTACAGGAGTATTACGTGGACTACAAGCCAACAAACTCTGAGACCATGGATGTATCGGTTAATGGATCTGGGCCCTGCACGTATACCATCTCTGGCTCCAGGGAATGCGAGGTATGAACCATGATCCTCCTAAAACCATTTCAGCTGCTGGGAAGGAGAGGTAAATGTTTGAAGCTCTTGAGGTGTCTCTAAACACTATAGAAAGATTGATGAGTTGTTTTTTGGTTTGGTTTTTGTTTTTTTTTTTTTTTTTTTGCTTTTGGGTTTGCTCAGTGTGAAAGGTTATCTGATTAAGTAACAACAGTCAGGGAAGTGATGGTGATTATTTTGAATAATTCACACTTACAAAAAAAAAAAAAGTAGATTAAGTTGAAGTAAACAACCATGATAAAGGCATCTGGATAGTTATTCTCCTCCTATTTGCACCCAGTTCATTAGCAGTGGCTACAGGAAAGTCCGATTTTTAATGTATTGGTAGAAACAGAGAAGTTTAAAAACCCTTTCTGTTTTAAAAATACAGATGGAAACCTCTTTACTCCAGACCCCACATAAAATCTTGAGGGGTTGATGGCCTATTTAAAGATAATGCCAAAGATTTTCGGCATTTTCTGTCTGGTTCTCAACTAAACCAGGGGACAACAGGACTGCAGTACAACCTTAGAGTTAGGCACTTAGTGTTTTCCTGGAGAAGCAGGAGCACACAAGCTGCTTTACTAGCACATTTGCGAGTATCTGGGTGGGGAGAGGGGGATTCGTGGGGGTTTTTAGTTTCATTCTAGTGATCAGTGAAGGCTTAGCTTGAGAAACAATTCTAATGGAGTTCTTAATAGTTTCACACACTTAAGGCCATGTTATGATTTTGACTCAGCAACATGGGAAATACAAATAGGAAAGGCTCTCAGTGCTTCTTTTGTCTGTTGTTCAGCTTTGGCAAGAAACCATCGTATTTTTTCATTGCTGCATTGTCAATGACTCTGTTAATGTGTAAGAATTTACTTGGGAATGCCATTGCTTGTTTATACCTGGTAAGGAGGATTTGTGCAATTACATTTCAGCACTTGTTTCTTAATCCTGCATGTGATGTGGTATTAGGGGACCGTGGTTGATTTTGCTTCCTTGGTTGTGGACATCCTACCTGAGAGTGCTGGAAGTACCTGCTGAAATTTATTCCTATCCATTTATGCAAATTGGGTCTGACTATGGTAGATTTTGACCAGCCAGGTAGTATGAAGCGTGTGTTAAAGATGAGCAGTGCTGAGCAGGCTGCAGTTCCAGGATCCTGATTTTTAAAAAGTGGATATTTTTACTTTCTGACAATAGGGCATCTTTAAGATGTTTCGTGTTTGGCACCTGAAATCCCTAGCTGATTTTGGACCACGGAGCTAAGGGGAAGGGAAAAAAAAGGTGTATGTTTTGGGGTTGCTTTCTCTGGAGCAGTGTTGTCTTCAAAAAAGAAAACTGCCTGTCATAGCCTTGTCATTTCTACCAGTATCATGCAAATGAAGGTGTGGGGTTTTTCTCCTGTTTAGCAGCACAAGTAGAAAGTAAGTGATGCTAACAGAGTTATTTTGAATTTTCACTGGCTGTCACAAGGAGCATTAATTTGACCTGAAAGGCTGTCTCCTTTTCATGCTCAAGTTTAACACCACTGAAGTTTCATTAGCTTGAATAACATGCTGTTTAATTTACACCAAGGTGATATGGAAGACAGCTGAATCTGCACGCCATAACTGAAAGTCCATGTGATAAAACCATAATCTGTTGCAAATTTGGATCATGATCATAGTGCACAGAAGATGGGGACTATGTGGTGGTGCTTAGGAGACTGACATTCAGATAATTTGGATTATGGCAGATAAATAAAAAGTTGAAGAGTCCTACCAGGTCTAGTAACAGAAGGTCAATGTGGCATCATTTCTTTCAAGTTCATGCTGATTGTTACACACAGCGTTAAACACAAGGGGACCCCAGTTCGCCTGGTTTCCAGGTGCTCTTGCAGTACCAGAACAGTGTTATCCCGCTACTCTGTTGAGGTTAGGTTAAGCTGGTGCACAACGTTGCAGTACTCAAGCTGTTTATCATGATGTCTGTGGGATTCTTGGTTATGGTGAAAATCAGTAGGACTGTACTGAACACGATACCGCTGTCCTACGCTGTGACTGGTAGAAAGTCCACTCCATATCTGCGTGGTGATTTAGTATCCATTGGCTGTTAGTCCAGAAGACTTCAGGAGACAGAAGACAGCAGATCGTTGAAGGCACATGTAGCAACCATAAGCCCCCACTGAAATACTATCTTCAGCTGGGATTTAACATTCTTCGTCTCCATAGCTACAAGGTTCCACTTGTAAAAGGATAGATATGCACTGTACAGTACTTAAAAATGATGAGAGAAAAAAAAAAATCCTTGTAGTGTCTTTAACAGTGGAAAGGTTTTATGTTTGGGGGGGGGGGAAGAAAGTGGAACATCTCATTATTTACTAATTTACCCACATGCACATACTTGTGGGAAAAGTATTATTTTATACAAGTGAGAGCTCAAGCCCATCCTCCTGTCCGGCTGACTTGCTCATTCACCCTGCTCAGGCTGAGCGTTCTCCCACAAAAGGACCACTTAGGGGGGAGAAGGGTGTCTGGGATCAAACTGAAGGCAGGTGGGTTTTCAGAATTCGTTGCTTACGAGTTTATTGATTTTACTCTTTTAGGTAATGTTTTTCAAATGATTGTCTGCTTTCACATGTCTACCCCCGCACACACCTGTGAGCAGCTAAGGTATCCAAAAATTGTATCTTTCAGGAAAGAAAGAATGGCTTAGTTCCATTTTAACCTGGGAAAGATGGCTGACCATGCTGTGTTGCTGGTAGTTGGGTGATAATGAATGGTTTCTGAGTGTGGCCTGAGGTCCTATGCACACGCCTATTCCGTTCACAGCGACGATTTCGGTTTTAGAACTATCCAGCTCATCTCATCCATAAACCACTTCTTTTCCATGGCAGAACGGGCCTCGAAATTACATGCTTAGGTATTTATGCAGGTTCTTTTTCTTCGCAGCAGCTACGCACGTGAGCAGGGGCGGTGGTTGTTGTTGGTTTAAGTTCAGTGAGCTTTCTAGCACGTAACACAGCAACACAGGCGTAGGAGAGCTGCCCCGTACTGGGTCCTTAGACGGCAAGTACGGAGTTGCAGGCACCGTTTGTATGGCTGCTTTTTCACATCCGTGCTTTATGATTTATTTCTTGTACTACAGAAAAGAGAGCCAAAGTCAGGCTTGCTGTAAATGGGAGCAACTCTCTTGGCATCAGTGGGATTATAATCACTGACACCTGGCCTACGGTATTCTATTTAGTCTATTGGCAAGGGTTTCTAAAATAACTGGATGCCTACGATTTTGGCTCTCACCAGCCAGTTAGCAGACTGCTGCTATCTCATTTTGGTATTTGCTTTGCTTTGTGCATGTGCATCTTATTCCCTCTCTCTTTCATATTTATTTGTACATTTGTTGAGGGGCTGGGAGCCATAAAAAGCAGTTTCATAAACCAAGCTATAACATTATGTATTTCGTATGTATCACACACAAAATAGCTGTATATAGCACACTATGAAGGTATGTGGGGAGAAGGAACATTGCTACAAAAACGTTTCCTTCTTGCTACTGGAAGGTTATTCATCTCCTATTTCTCAGGCTGGCAGTTACAAAGCAGACAACCAACCAACCAAGTGAACATCTTTTCTGTGTTAGCTGAGCACAGTTGATGTGAAGCCCTTTGAGAGACGATTGACACAGACCCTGTGAGGTTACTTTTTACACTTTCGCTTCTCAATGTTTAACCATACCCCAGCGCTTGACAAACCAACCCACCTGTTCACATCCAAGTACATGTCTGCTGTGATGCTCTTGTGTTTTTTCCATCGGAGTGAAAAGCAGGGCAGTTGTCACTTGTATTCATACATGCGAAATCAGTCACACAAAATCATGTTCACTTTGAATTCTGCTTCCTCCCCTCTTGCCAGTGGGAAGAAATAGATTGATAAAGGAATGCAACATATGCAGGCTTTGGTGGGCTGCTGTTCATCTCCTTCTTTTGAGCCTAATTTAAAAGGAAATGTTGACATGCCACTGTTTATTATTTATTTATTAAACACCATTACTGTGTTGTTTTGAACAAGATGCAAAAAGGAAGAAAAGGGAATAGTCTCCATGGCTCAGATACCATTTAGTCCAAGGTTCCAGTTCTGCAAAGGGTGTTCATGGTTCTGTAACTCAACTTTGTAAGGGTTACCCAGAGGCTAAGCATGAGCTTACGGGGCATTGGGACCTCGTGGGAGAAGTCACTCAATGATTTGGCAGAATTTTTGTCTTTTTTTAAAAAAACAGTGATCATATTTCCTTTGGTCATCATCCTTACTTTTTCGTAGGAATGCTTAGCAAGGACTTCATGGCTGAGTTGCAAGTTCCTCCTAGCTTGGAGGAATGCAAAAGGAAGGCGATTCCACAGGGGGTGCGTTACAAAGAGAAGAATGTGGGAGGTGATGAGTGAGGAGTATGGGAAGCAGTAATTGCTACTACTGTTGTCACTTCAGAGCCAAAGCAGTGGGGTTGTCTTTCCGGTGACCCTGTTTTGGAACGCTGTAGGATGGGTGTTGTTAATTTAGCTTTCTCATATCCTGTGCTATGGCTCCTCCTCTGCCTTTCTTTCTCCACCTGTGATTGTAGATGGACCTTAAATTCTGGAGTTGTAAACTGAAGGGTGAATGAATCTAACAAAACTATCATAAGCTCTGTGTTTGTATTGGGAGAGTAAGCAAAGGCTAAGCTGATAGCGCTTTTCCTCAGTGCACTGTATCTGAAAGAAATACGTCAGAAGTGGCTCAGAGGTGAAATCTTTTGGGCACAGGGCCAGTGAGAGGTCTGAGGAGAAGGTAAATTTTAGAAACGTCTTCAGGATTAGGACCAAAGGTAAAAATTTGTGTTTGTCACCATTTGGAAGCTTCATTAGCATTGCATCCTTGTTATTGCAAGTATAATGCCAGTATAGAGAAAGTTGTGCTCTAGCAGTACTAGTGATTTAGCAATAAACGCACAGGGGTGAATTTTCCAGGGCTCAGCACTTGTATAGC